AGGAAGTGGACTTGTGTCTGGTCCAAGATGCACTCCCAGGTGTGCTCTCATGTTTGTACTGGCGAGGAAGTGGACTTGTGTCTGGTCCAAGATGGACTCCCAGGTGTGCTCTTATGTTTGTACTGGCGAGGAAGTGGACTTGTGTCTGGTCCAAGATGCACTCCCAGGTGTGCTCTTATGTTTGTACTGGCGAGGAAGTGGACTTGTGTCTGGTCCAAGATGCACTCCCAGGTGTGCTCTCATGTTTGTACTGGCGAGGAAGTGGACTTGTGTCTGGTCCAAGATGGTTGCCACCATTTAACAGTCTACATGACATTGTCCAAAAATTTAAGTTAGCTATTTTCTTCATATGTAACTTTAAATTTACCATTTATATTCATTCAATTATATTACGAACACAGGTAATGACCTGTGAGACCTGGTCGTCATGGGAATTGAAGAAAACAAACTTAGCAGTACACTATAAAGTATATTTTGCCTTCCCCCACTATATACAGATATGTACACTATGTACACTATGTACAGATAGAATAATAATAAGTGTACACCACGGTTGCCTCATCTGTTTCCTCAACAGATGAGCGAACAACAGGAGATAATCCAACGTCTCGTACACAAGTGAGACCACTGACAATTACAGTAACAAATAAGTTCGCTTTCAAAGTACCGTATTCTAGAAATATATTAACTAAAACAAGAGATAAAGGTGAACCCACCGGCAGCACATTTGCTTAACTACAAAAAAATTTCTTCACAGGAGAAATGTGTCTGGGAAGCACAAAGTCAGAGACGCAAGACCGCTTCGTATGGTACAAGAAAATTTAGATCCCTTTTAGTGAATTTACGTCCTAAACATTCAATGACGTCAACATTAACAAGACCTTCAGTGAACAAACTTTCCACATAATAAACCATTGTTCTGTTTCCGAGGTTTACATTTTTAATTTGCCAATAAGTTGTCTGAATTCAATAAGTACGAAGATGACCAAGTAGTTTGTAAAGAAGAATGTAGAAACTGCCAGGAGGAAAGATGTTAACACTGTAGCAGAAGTTACTGCTGCTCTTAACGTAATGTTAACTGTGAAGCTTTGCATCCAAGTTTTATATTAGTGACAACCTGACGAATATCTTCACTGACACATATTTCGCACACCAGAAGCTTCATTCATCTAGTACACAAACATGAGAAGCAAGCCTTTTAGAAGTGGATCCAGTGGAAGAAGTGGCAGACTTAATTATATGTAGAAGTCCACTTGTGTAACGTAGCTCAGACCTATGTGGTGGTGGAGGCAGTGGTGGTGGTAGGTGGAGAAGTGGTGATGGTGGAGGCAGTGGTGATGGTGGAGGCAGTGGTGATGGTGGAAGCAATGGTGGTAGGTGGAGAAGTGGTGATGGTGGAGGCAGTGGTGGTGGAGGCAGTGGTGGTGGAGGCAGTGGTGGTAGGTGGAGAAGTGGTGATGGTGGAGGCAGTGTTGATGGTGGCAGTGGTGGTAGGTGGAGAAGTGGTGATGGTGGAGGCAGTGGTGGTGGAGGCAGTGGTGGTAGGTGGAGAAGTGGTGATGGTGGAGGCAGTGGTGATGGTGGCAGTGGTGGTTAGGTGGAGAAGTGGTGATGGTGGAGGCAGTGGTGATGGTGTGGAAGCAGTGGTGGTAGGTGGAGAAGTGGTGATGGTGGAGGCAGTGGTGGTGGAGGCAGTGGTGGTAGGTGGAGAAGTGGTGATGGTGGAGGCAGTGGTGATGGTGGCAGTGGTGGTAGGTGGAGAAGTGGTGATGGTGGAGGCAGTGGTGGTGGAGGCAGTGGTGGTAGGTGGAGAAGTGGTGATGGTGGAGGCAGTGGTGATGGTGGCAGTGGTGGTAGGTGGAGAAGTGGTGATGGTGGAGGCAGTGGTGATGGTGGAAGCAGTGGTGGTAGGTGGAGAAGTGGTGATGGTGGAGGCAGTGGTGGTGGAGGCAGTGGTGGTAGGTGGAGAAGTGGTGATGGTGGAGGCAGTGGTGATGGTGGCAGTGGTGGTAGGTGGAGAAGTGGTGATGGTGGAGGCAGTGGTGATGGTGGAAGCAGTGGTGGTAGGTGGAGAAGTGGTGATGGTGGAGGCAGTGGTGGTGGAGGCAGTGGTGGTAGGTGGAGAAGTGGTGATGGTGGAGGCAGTGGTGATGGTGGAGGCAGTGGTGGTAGGTGGAGAAGTGGTGATGGTGGAGGCAGTGGTGGTGGAGGTAGTGGTGGTAGGTGGGAGAAGTGGTGATGGTGGAGGCAGTGGTGGTGGAGGCAGTGGTGGTAGGTGGAGAAGTGGTGATGGTGGAGGCAGTGGTGATGGTGGAGGCAGTGGTGGTGGAGGCAGTGGTGGTAGGTGGAGAAGTGGTTGATGGTGGAGGCAGTGGTGATGGTGGAGGCAGTGGTGGTGGAGGCAGTGGTGGTAGGTGGAGAAGTGGTGATGGTGGAGGCAGTGGTGATGGTGGAGGCAGTGGGTGGTGGAGGCAGTGGTGGTAGGTGGAGAAGTGGTGATGGTGGAGGCAGTGTTGATGGTGGCAGTGGTGGTAGGTGGAGAAGTGGTGATGGTGGAGGCAGTGGTGGTGGAGGCAGTGGTGGTAGGTGGAGAAGTGGTGATGGTGGAGGCAGTGTTGATGGTGGCAGTGGTGGTAGGTGGAGAAGTGGTGATGGTGGAGGCAGTGGTGGTGGAGGCAGTGGTGGTAGGTGGAGAAGTGGTGATGGTGGAGGCAGTGGTGATGGTGGCAGTGGTGGTAGGTGGAGAAGTGGTGATGGTGGAGGCAGTGGTGATGGTGGAAGCAGTGGTGGTAGGTGGAGAAGTGGTGATGGTGGAGGCAGTGGTGGTGGAGGCAGTGGTGGTAGGTGGAGAAGTGGTGATGGTGGAGGCAGTGGTGATGGTGGCAGTGGTGGTAGGTGGAGAAGTGGTGATGGTGGAGGCAGTGGTGGTGGAGGCAGTGGTGGTAGGTGGAGAAGTGGTGATGGTGGAGGCAGTGGTGATGGTGGCAGTGGTGGTAGGTGGAGAAGTGGTGATGGTGGAGGCAGTGGTGATGGTGGAAGCAGTGGTGGTAGGTGGAGAAGTGGTGATGGTGGAGGCAGTGGTGGTGGAGGCAGTGGTGGTAGGTGGAGAAGTGGTGATGATGGTGGAGGCAGTGGTGATGGTGGCAGTGGTGGTAGGTGGAGAAGTGGTGATGGTGGAGGCAGTGGTGATGGTGGAAGCAGTGGTGGTAGGTGGAGAAGTGGTGATGGTGGAGGCAGTGGTGGTGGAGGCAGTGGTGGTAGGTGGAGAAGTGGTGATGGTGGAGGCAGTGGTGATGGTGGAGGCAGTGGTGGTAGGTGGAGAAGTGGTGATGGTGGAGGCAGTGGTGGTGGAGGTAGTGGTGGTAGGTGGAGAAGTGGTGATGGTGGAGGCAGTGGTGGTGGAGGCAGTGGTGGTAGGTGGAGAAGTGGTGATGGTGGAGGCAGTGGTGATGGTGGAGGCAGTGGTGGTGGAGGCAGTGGTGGTAGGTGGAGAAGTGGTGATGGTGGAGGCAGTGGTGATGGTGGAGGCAGTGGTGGTGGAGGCAGTGGTGGTAGGTGGAGAAGTGGTGATGGTGGAGGCAGTGGTGATGGTGGAGGCAGTGGTGGTGGAGGCAGTGGTGGTAGGTGGAGAAGTGGCGATGGTGGAGGCAGTGGTGATGGTGGAGGCAGTGGTGGTGGAGGTAGTGGTGGTAGGTGGAGAAGTAGTGATGGTGGAGGCAGTGGTGGTGGAGGCAGTGGTGGTAGGTGGAGAAGTGGTGATGGTGGAGGCAGTGGTGGTGGAGGCAGTGGTGTTAGGTGGAGAAGTGGTGATAGTGGAGGCAGTGGCGATGGTGGAGGCAGTGGTGGTAGGTGAAGAAGTGGTGATGGTGGAGGCAGTGGTGGTGGAGGTAGTGGTGGTAGGTGAAGTGGTGATGGTGGAGGCAGTGGTGGAGGAGGCAGTGGTGGTAGGTGGAGAAGTGGTGATGGTGGAGGCAGTGGTGGTGGAGGCAGTGGTGGTAGGTGGAGAAGTGGTGATGGTGGAGGCAGTGGTGGTGGAGGCAGTGGTGGTAGGTGGAGAAGTGGTGATGGTGGAGGCAGTGGTGATGGTGGAGGCAGTGGTGGTGGAGGCAGTGGTGATAGGTGGAGAAGTGGTGATGGTGGAGGCAGTGGTGGTGGAGGCAGTGGTGGTAGGTGGAGAAGTGGTGATGGTGGAGGCAGTGGTGATGGTGGAGGCAGTGGTGATGGAGGCAGTGGTGATGATGGTGGAGGCAGTGGTGGTGGAGGCAGTGGTGGTAGGTGGAGAAGTGGTGATGGTGGAGGCAGTGGTGATGGTGGAGGCAGTGGTGGTGGAGGCAGTGGTGGTAGGTGGAGAAGTGGTGATGGTGGAGGCAGTGGTGATGGTGGAGGCAGTGGTGGTGGAGGCAGTGGTGATGATGGTGGAGGCAGTGGTGGTGGAGGCAGTGGTGATGATGATGGAGGCAGTGGTGATGGCGGAGGCAGTGATGGCGATGGAGGCTGTGGTGATGGTGGTGGTGGTGGCGGTGGTGGTGGTGGTGGTGGAAGCAGTGATGGTGGTGGAGGCAATGATGGTGGTGGAGGAAGTGGTGGTGGAGGAAGTGTTGGTGGAGGCAGTGATGGTGGTGGAGAAAGCGATGGTGGTGGAGGCAGTGGTGGAGGCAGTGATGGTGGAAGCAGTGATGGTGGTGGAGGCAGTGTTGGTGGAGGCAATGATGGTAGTGGAGAAAGTGATGGTGGTGGAGGCAGTGATGGTGCTGGTGGAGGCAGTGGTAATGGTAGAGGTAGTGATGGTGGTGGAGGCTGTGGTGATGGTGGAGGCAGTGATGGTGGTAGAGGCTGTGGTGATGGTGGAGGCAATGATGGTGGTAGAGGCAGTGATGGTGGATGCAGTGGTGGTGGTGGAAGCAGTGATGGTGGCGGAGGAAGTGATGGTGGTGGAAGCAGTGATGGTGGAGGCAATGATGGTGGTGGAGAAAGTGATGGTGGTGGAGGGAGTGGTAGAGGCGAGCGGCATGGTAGACAGTTTACAGCAGGCGAGGTAGGGGAGAGGACGCAGACTCACACTTCTCCTGGTGACTTGCTCTGCACCACAGCTTCCATAAAGTACCGTAGCTCCCTGCAGACCCCAACATGGTACACGAGTGTGTGTTGTGGTACATGTACCCTCACTGATGGTACATAAGTGTCAACCACACCTTGTATTACTGGTGCTGTGCTGTGTCACACAACCGAGTCATTAACCAAGCTTCAACTCCACATAACACAGGTGAGTTACCTCTATCATTCTTGTAGCCAAGACTGTACTACACTGTGTTCTTAACTGTGATGCTACACTGTGTCGTTAATTCTGTTGTTACACTATGTTATGTATGATTCTAACTCTGTTGCTTCATTATGTGTCTTCTAAATTTGATGCTACAGCGTGTGCTCTTAACTGTGATATTACACTGTGTGTATTCTTAACTCAGAAACTAAGTCATTAACTCTGTTACTATACTGTCTGCTTCATTAACCTTGTTATTGCACTGTGTGCCATTAACTTTGTTATTCTGTTTGTACCATTTACTGTTACTACACTGTGTGTGGTGTCATTACCTGTTACTACACTGTGTGTCATTACCTGTTATTACACTATATATCATTACATGTTACTACACTGTGTGTGTGTGTGTGAGGTGTGTGTGTGTGTGTGTGTGTGTGTGTGTGTGTGTGTGTGTGTTGTGTGTGTGTGTGTGAGGGGTGTGTGTGTGTGTGTGTGTGTGTTGTGTGTGTGTGTGTGTGTGTGAGGGGTGTGTGTATGTGTGAGGGTGTGTGTGTGTGTGTGAGGGGTGTGTGTGTGTGTGTGTGTGTGTGTGTGTGTGTGTGTGATGGGTGTGTGTGTGTGTGTGTGTGTGTGTGTGTGTGTGTGTGTGTGTGTGAGGGGTGTGTGTATGTGTGAGGGGTGTGTGTGTGTGTGTGAGGGGTGTGTGTGTGTGTGTGTGTGTGTGTGTGTGTGTGTGAGGGGTGTGTGTGTGTGTGTGTGTGTGTGTGTGTGTGTGTGTGTGTGTGTGTGAGGGGTGTGTGTGTGTGTGAGGGGTGTGTGTGTGTGTGTGAGGGGTGTGTGTGTGGGGGGGGATATATGACAGTTAATACGATCTGTAGTGACAGGACTTGAAGTGATCGGGTAAGACATGACATGGTGAGACATGACGTGACAAGACATGACTGGATGAGGCATGACGTGATAGGACATGTTTGGATGAGGTATGATATGACAGGACATGACGGTGAGGCCTGACTGAGTGAGGCATGACGCGACAGCACATAACATGACGGGATGAGACATGACAATAGAACATGACACGACTGGGGGTGAGACATGACGTGACAGCACAGGACGGCTGGGTGACAACGTGACAGGACAAGATTACATATGATGGAACATGACAGTGACACAGGACATGACGAAACAGGATATGACATGACGGGGTGGTACATGACATGATAGCACTTGACGGGGTGACACATGACGTGACAGCGAATGTATAATTTGTAGTTAGTAATTGTATATTCTCTTTCTCTATATATATATCCATCTATCTCTATCTCTCTTCCTCTGTCTGTCTCTGTCTGTATCTCTATCTCTGTCTCTGTCTGTCTCTGTCTGTATCTCTATCTCTGTCTCTATCTGTCTGTCTCTCTCTCTCCAATAAACTGAAAAATTATCGTAGCATAAAATATTAAAGATAATTTTGTGTTAGGAAGGTAATGAAGGAAGTGTGAAGGAAGGTGATGAAGGAAGTGTGAAGGAAGGTGATGAAGGAAGTGTGAAGGAAGGTGATGAGGAAGTGTGAAGGAAGGTGATGAAGGAAGTGTGAAGGAAGGTGATGAAGGAAGTGTGAAGGAAGGTGATAAAGGAAGTGTGAAGGAAGGTGATGAAGGAAGTGTGAAGGAAGGTGATGAAGGAAGTGTGAAGGAAGCTGATGAAGTGTGAAGGAAGGTGATGAAGGAAGTGTGAAGGAAGGTGATGAAGTGTGAAGGAAGGTGATGAAGTATGAAGGTAATGAAGGAAGTGTGAAGGAAGGTGATGAAGGAAGTGTGAAGGAAGGTGATGAAGGAAGTGTGAAGGAAGGTGAAGGAAGTGTAAAGGAAGGTGATGAAGGAAGCGTGAAGGAAGATGATGAAGGAAGTGTGAAGGAAGGTGATGAAGGAAGTGTGAAGGAAGGTGATGAAGGAAGTGTGAAGGAAGGTGATGAAGGAAGTGTGAAGGAAGGTGATGAAGGAAGTGTGAAGGAAGGTGATGAAGGAAGTGTGAAGGAAGGTAATGAAGTAAGTGTGAAGGAAGGTGATGAAGGAAGTGTGAAGGAAGGTGATGAAGGAAGTGTGAACGAAGGTGATGAAGGAAGTGTGAAGGAAGGTGATGAAGGAAGTGTGAAGGAAGGTGATGAAGGAAGTGTGAAGGAAGGTGATGAAGGAAGTGTGAAGGAAGGTGATGAGGAAGTGTGAAGGAAGGTGATGAAGGAAGTGTGAAGGAAGGTGATGAAGGAAGTGTGAAGGAAGGTGATGAAGGAAGTGTGAAGGAAGGTGATGAAGGAAGTGTGAAGGAAGGTGATGAAGGAAGTGTGAAGGAAGGTGTGAAGGAAGTGTGAAGGAAGGTGATGAAGGAAGTGTGAAGGAAGGTGATGAAGGAAGTGTGAAGGAAAGTGATGAAGGAAGTGTGAAGGAAGGTGATGAAGGAAGTGTGAAGGAAGATGAAGGAAGTGTGAAGGAAGGTGATGAAGGAAGTGTGAAGGAAGGTGATGAAGGAAGTGAGAAGGAAGGTGATGAAGGAAGTGTGAAGGAAGGTGATGAAGGAAGTGTGAAGGAAGGTGATGAAGGAAGTGTGAAGGAAGGTAATGAAGGAAGTGTGAAGGAAGGTGATGAAGGAAGTGTGAAGGAAGGTGATGAAGGAAGTGTGAAGGAAGGTGATTGAAGGAAGTGTGAAGGAAGGTAATGAAGGAAGTGTGAAGGAAGGTAATGAAGGAAGTGTGAAGGAAGGTGATGAAGGAAGTGTGAAGGAAGGTGATGAAGGAATAGTGGTGAAGGAAGGTGGATGAAGGAAGTGTGAAGGAAGGTGATTAAAGGAAGTGTGAAGGGAAGGTGATGAAGGAGTGTGAAGGAAGGTGATGAAGGAAGTTATGAAGGGAAGGTGATGAAGAAGTATGAAGGAAGGTGATGAAGGAAGTGTGAAGGATAGGTGATGAAGGTAAGTGTGAAGGAAGGTGATGAAGGAAGTTAGAAGTGGAAGGGTGATGAAGGAATGTGTGAAGGAGGTGATGAAGGAAGTGTGAAGGAAGGTGATGAAGGAAGTGTGAAGGAGGTGATGAAGGAAGTGTGAAGGAAGGTGTGAAGGAAGTGTGAAGGAAGGTGATGAAGGAAGTGTGAAGGAAGGTGATGAGGAAGTGTGAAGGAAGGTGATGAAGGGAAGTGTGAAGGAAGGTGTAGGAAGTGAAGGAAGTGTGAAGGAAGTGTAGGAGTGATGAAGGAAGTGTGAAGGAAGGTGATGAAGGAAGTGATGGGAAATGAAAGGTGATGAAGGAAGTGTGAAGGAAGGGATAGAAGTGTGAAGGAAGGTGATGAAGGAAGATAAGGAAGGTGATGAAGGAAGTATGAAGGAAGGTGATGAAGGAAGTGTGAAGGAAGGTGATGAAGGAAGGTGTGAAGGAAGGTGATGGAAGGTGTGAAGGAAGGTGATGAGGAAGTTGAAGGAAGGTGATGAAGGAAGTGTGAAGGAAGGTGATGAAGGAAGTGTGGAAGGAAGGTGATGAAGGAATGTAGAAGGAAGTGATGAAGGAAGTGTGAAGGAAGGTGATGAAGGAAGTGTGAAGGAAGGTGATGAAGGAAGTGTGAAGGAAGGTAGATGAAGGAAGTGTGAAGGAAGGTGATGAAGGAAGTGTGAAGGAAGGTGATGAATGGAAGTGTGAAGGAAAGGTGATGAAGGAAGTGAAGGAGTGTGAAGGAAGGAGGAAGGTGATGAAGGAAGTGTGAAGGGAAGGTGATGAAGGAAGTGTGAAGGAAGGTGATGAAGGAAGTGTGAAGGAAGGTGATGAAGGAAGTGTGAAGGAAGGTGATGAAGGAAGTTGAAGGAAGGTGATGAAGGAAGTGTGAAGGAAGGTGATGAAGGAAGTGTGAAGGAAGGTGATGAAGGAAGTTGAAGGAAGGTGATGAAGGAAGTGTGAAGGAAGGTGATGAAGGAAGTGTGAAGGAAGGTGATGAAGGAAGTGTGAAGGAAGGTGATGAAGGAAGTGTGAAGGAAGGTGATAGGAGTTGAAGGAAGTGTGAAGGAAGGTGATGAAGGAAGTTAGTGAAGGAAGGTGAATGAAGGAAGTTGAAGGAAGGTGATGAAGGAAGTATGAAGGAAGGTGATGAAGGAAGTGTGAAGGAAGGTGATGAAGGAAGTGTGAAGGAAGGTGATGAAGGAAGTTGAAGGAAGGTGATGAAGGAAGTGTGAAGGAAGGTGATAATGAAGGAAGTGTGAAGGAAGTGTGAGAAGGAAGTATGATAGGAAGGTGAATGAAGGAAGTGTGAAGGAGGTGAAATGGAAGTGTGAAGGAAGGGGATGAAGGAAGTATGAATGAAGGTGTGAAGGAAGTGTGAAGGAAGGTGATGAAGGTAAGTGTGAAGGAAGGTGATGAAGGAAGTTGAAGGAAGGTGATGAAGGAAGTGTGAAGGAAGTGATGAAGGAAGTGATGAAGGAAGGTGATGAAGGAAGTATGAAGGAAGGTGATGAAGGAAGTATGAAGGAAGGTGATGAAGGAAGTTGAAGGAGGGGATGAAGGAAGTTGAAGGAAGGTGATGAAGGAAGTTAAGGAAGTATGAAGGAAGTATGAAGAAGGTGATGAAGGAAGTATGAAGGAAGGTGATGAAGGAAGTTGAAGGAACTGTATGAAGGAAGTGTGAAGGTAATAAAGTTAGAAGGTAGGAAGTTAGAAGGTAGGTATAAAGTTAAGGAGGTGAATGAAGTAGAAGGTAGGTAATAAAATAGGAAGGAAGTATTTAAATGTGAAGGAAGAGAAGTTTGAATAATGAAGGAATAAAAGGTTATGTAAGTGAAAGACTGGAATGGTTAATGACTCTGGAACTTCTCGTCTCTTCTCTTCTCTCCTCTGTCTTTCTGTCACTCATCTCTCTCTCTTCTTCTCTTTTCTGAAATAGTTAAACAACACTAAGTAATGGTATATTTTAGTGTTGTTTAGGTGCGTATATCTTAAAGTTAAACATTGAACTTTAGGCCTGGTGATCCAAGGA